TAGAGTCATGTCATTAATCCACAACCAATTAATTTCATAAAAAAAACAAGTTATAAATGAAATATATTCAATATGAGTACATCTTTAATTTTGAAACGCCCAAAATAGTATATGGGACTAACATTATGAAACGGAGGGAGTAATTTTTTTATGTTATTTTCATAATTAATGTATAAAAGTGTGAGAAGTATATATTGTGAGGGTTCACAATTTAATTTTTTGTTTTTTATGAGGAATTGATTTTTCTGACCATTTTTATCATGGTGAGGATGAAGAACGTGGTAAGATCATATTCAAGTTCAAGAGGATTATTTTTGTGATTATTCGAAGGCTGATTACATATTGCAGCTTGATGATTATATAATGCAGTTTTTTTTTTTTTATTGTCCAAGTCGGGTGTTCGAGATCTACACCTCCGACTTGAGGGAGGTAATGAGATAGGAATGTATTGTGATATGATATTATGAAAATAACATCATATGAGATATTATTGTGAAAATATATACTTCCTCCGTTTTCTTTTAGATGCAACACACACTTTTTCACGGTATTTAAGAAATGTGAGGTTCACATGATATAATACACTTTAAAATGGGATGAGTGGTTGTTAGGAATGTAATTTAGTGGGTCATGTGCTTTAAATAAGGAAAATAGTATAGTTTTTCCCTAAAGTAACTTTCCTTTTATAGTATGTTGCAAGTATTGTGACATTTCCTTTTTAGGGAAGTGTTGCAAGTAAAAGAAAACGGAGGAAGTATGTCATATATTGTGATAGAGTTTAGGAAGTTAAGATATTTAGGAATATTAGGGTTAGATTTTCCTATTGTCTATATATATTGTGATTGTAATGTGATCGAATATTATGAATGGGAAAATACAATGGAAATTACATTGTGAGAAGTATTGGATTTTACCTTTCAAAAGACGAAAATCCACATTCTTTCTTTTCATTTATGGATCACCTTGTACAATGCCAAATTTATTAAAAACAATGGGCTACATACTACTTATGCTGTTATATGCAACATTACAATGAAATCATTAGGTAATTACTAATTAGTCAATGTGAAAATACCATTGAAAATACCATTGATTAGGTTAGAATAATTAGTTGTGGAAAATACTATTCTAGTTGTATTATATTCCAATTTTTCCATCCATCAATTTTCCATTAAGTTTTTTGTTTGGTGAAAAAACTTTCTACTCCACTAAATACTTGTGACTCCCAGCTACTAAATGTGATTCTTGGAATTTATAAAAAGTCTATGCACCCATGATTTTTTACACTTAGTTTACATAGACTTTAGTGCCAAGAAAGTTCTTACTGGTCATCATATTTCATATGGAGTAACATTTGTACTTTTCCTTGAGCAACTAGAAATAGAGGAAAGTTATGCATTTACTAATGCATAACATTGATTAAAATATTATAAAAACACATGGTAGAGAGAGAAAAGAGGAGAGAGATAGGAAGAGAGAGGCATGTAGGTGGACCACACCTATTTTTTGATCGGATTGTATCACGTGATGGGGGACCACATGCTGATTGTTCCACTGAAAGTTTATATAGTACCATTGAATCCTCAGTGGTACTATTTAAGCATAAATTTAGTACAACTAAATGCATATATAATACCATTATGTGCGCATATAGTATCACTGTATATTCAATGGTACCATTTGATATCAAAATATTTATTCGTTTGTACATATGCATAATTACATAAATACCCTTTGTTATGCATTTCTAAATGCCTAACATTCCTCCCTTTAAAATTCCTCCTTTTCCTTCTAGCTTGTTGCACGGGGAGGAAGGTTTTTTTTTTTTTTTTTTTGGATAGTTTCAACTAGGGGTGTCAGTTCGGATAATCGGATCGGGCCTGTTATGGTCAGGTCGGATCGGGTAAATTTTTAAAGTTGACTTATACTAAATTATTTTGTCCACGCGAGTCAAAATCTAAATCGGATATTTTTCGGGTCGGTTTCGGAATCGGGTCGGATGCGCTTTTGACACCTCTAGTTTCAACGTCTTATTAAATACTTCCTTTGCTTTTTATTGTTACTCCATTTTTTGAGTCATAATTAATAAGTAGTTCGGGCATTGCCCCATGTTGCTACTTTTGTAGACGTACAATCGTCCATCAATAAATTTTAGTATCTATATTTTTTTTAATTGAACCTTGTGGTTTGCCCTTATATATATATTTTTACATATTAATAACATACTTGGTAGTTGTCTTAGATGATGAAATAGTTATCGTTGTTATAATATGTTGAGGGTTCGATTGTAAAACTCGTACTAAATGTATGTTTGTTTAGGAAAGATCTAATTTTTAAACTAATACCTCAAACCTACGAGGTATGGGGTTTAGAAATCCAAGGAGGAGGTGGGTATGGCTCAGACCACACCTTTAGTTATCAAATAAAAATAGAAAAACTCGTTCTTAAACACAAATCAAACACGATGTAGCATCAAGTTCCAACCTCATATCATCTGAATTTCATTCCTAATCTCAAATCCATACCACTTTATTAACCAAACACCCAAAAGTGTTAGATAAAAGAATTAATTGCGAAATTATGAAAGTAAAATAAATATTAACTACACCATCAATCAGACTCAATAATTTTAACATATCCCAATAGTAATATTCGATTTGAACAGAGTAAAATTTTATCCAAATAGTGAACACCCCTATTTCCGTACCAACACCAGGCACAAACCATAGTAAGTGAGTACTTATTAGGGGTAAGCAAAAATTCAAGGTACCTTGACCTGCAACCGGAACCTGTAGATCAGGTTCCGGTTTCAGGTAGTAAAATTGAAAACCTGTTGCAACAGATTCCGGTTCCAGGTAATAAAGTTATGAACCCGGAACTTGTAGCGTACCCTGTTCGTACAGGTTCCCCGTAGAATACATAAAACCGGAACCTATCATTTAAGCCCAAATATAAAAGCCATATACCAAATTTGTTTAAAAGTCGTTATCTACCTCTCTCTCTCTCTTCTTTTTCATTTTTCATTTTAATCTTAAAGGTTTAATTAATGGTACTAATATAAATATTTGTAATTTTGTATTCAATATTCTAGACAATCAGTGTTGTTTGGTTATAATTGTAGTATTGTATTAAAGTTGTAAGATTTAATCGTGAACATCCGTCTTTTTTTATTAATTTATCAAGTAACTATTAAGCTTACTTTGAAAGATAGGGTATTTTGTATCGAAATCAGAACGTGCAAGTTCCGATTCTGGTTTCTATTTTTAGGAACCTGTTGCAACAGGTTCCGATTCCTATTTTTAGGAACAGGTTCTGATTTCGAATCTTGAAATTTTTACGGGATACCTAATACCCTCACCCCTATTCCTTATTAATGTACAACCTATCATTAATGGATCGGAGTCAAGTTAACGGCTAACCCCACTTTCAAGGACCAACGTGAAAATTACGGAGTACCCGAACTATTTTTCTATTATGGCCATTATGATTTATGAGGGAACATAGAAAAACATAGGAAGAAACTATTTTGTTTTTTCCATGCCAGTTTGCAAATTAACAATCAACTCACAAAAGGTGGATGATTCTTCACTACCATTATACTCCTTTTGTCCCCTATTGATAGTCCCTTGTATGTAATTTTCACGGAAATTAATAAATATAAATAGGATGTAGTAAAAACAAATTGAAAATATAATTTACATTGGGTATACAAAAAAGTAGAGAGAGAAAGTAATACGGTGTAAAAGTGAAAAACAAAATTTACATAGAAAAGTTAAATTTGCATAAATATGTTGCAAATTGGAGAGGATTTTGGTAAAAAAAAAAAAAAAAAAAAAAAAAAAAAAAAAAAATTGATATTAATGGTACTTAAAAAAGCAAATGGACTATCATTTAGGAATTTAAAATTTTTCATAAGGGACATAAGGAACAGAGGGAGTATTATTTTTTTATTGGTTAAATTTTTTTATTTATTTTAATGTCAAAAATTATTAAAAATAATTAATTTAATTTTAAAATTCATTTATTAATTTGGTAATAATTTCCTTTTTTATATAATTGTTTAAATTTGGTTTTTATTATTTTTGAAATTGAAAAATTAACTCATAACTTAATTATGAAAATATTTTTAAAAATTTAAAAATTAAAAAAATAAGAAAAATCATTTTTAATCAATTTTATGGGCTTAATATATGTGACCAATTGTTTAATTTGTTATTTTGTGAGTTTAATATATTTGAGTTTGTAAAATGTCTTCGAAAAATTTACATAATTTCAAAAAATTCTCTCAAATTCTTTGCGTTATATCTTCGTGCATCGCACAAGGACTTATATGGTAAATAAATAAATAAATCAACCACCAAAATAAGGATGACTACGTAGAATTGCCAACACGAAGTAGTAATTTGGCCTGTGTAACACACGCTATTAACATTATTAGAAAACTTGGAAAATAACACAAGAAAAATGACACATGACAATATGATACTCCTTGCCTTGGAGTTTTAATAATAATATAGATTACAAAGCATATTTTTTTTAATTATATATAATATATACCCATTATAACATTATATTGTTTTCAACGAATATAGGATTAAGTGATTTAGACAATATGACGATATATATAGCATGAAGTATATCACGTAAATTTGGTTCAAGCATCTAAGGTATGAGTTTAGAATGAGTGAAACCCATGTCTATTGTTTGTTTTTATAAAATTCAAGTTTGAAACCCATACCTCAAACTCCTAAGGTGTGGGGTTTTGAAACCCAATGGGGGAGGTGGGTATGAGTCATACTCATACCTTTAGCTTCAAATTAATAGAAAAACATATCATTCCCAATTCAAAACCAAACAAATGGAATCAAGTATCAATTTTGAAACCCATACCGCCCTGGTTTCATACCACTCTTTGAACCAAATGCACTGGTATTACAGTTATTGTAAAGAATTTTCCAAAATGATTAGTGGTGTAATTGATTGATTTTTGAGGAGTCCTATTAACCATCTCGTTGGCATTGACTTGACTTAGAAAATAATGCGATATTCCTATTCCCATTCACATTATATTAAACTCCTCCGGTAGCCCAACCCCAACTAAACATGCCAAACCGAACACTAGAAGCCGTTGATAATTTTAACCAATTTTCCCTCCTTTTTTTCTCCCTAACCATATTTTCCCACGCCTAAAATCCTCTGGTTCGGAAACAGAGCAACCAAAACATAGCAATACTATCCTACTCCACCTATAAATGACAAAATTACCCTTTTCAACTACCAATCTCCTCCCTATATTGTCCTTTATCCTCCTTATCACTCTACCCTTTTTCGTAATTTCACAATCAGAACAAGAAATCTTATTGCAAATAAAACAACAATGGAGTAATCAACCACCAATGAATTCATGGAATCACACCACCCATTTTTGTCAATGGCCCGGAATCAATTGCTCCGGTGGCGTAACAGTAACCGGAATCTCCCTTAATAGCAAAAACATCGAAGGCAAAATCCCTCCTTCCATTTGTGATCTCAAAAATCTCACTGTCCTTGATCTTGGAAACAATTATATCCAAGGTAACTTCCCCACATTTCTAAACAATTGCCCCAAGCTTCAAACTTTAGTCCTAGCTTCAAACTATTTTGTTGGGAAATTACCAGATAGCATAAATGAGCTTCCTCTTAGCCTCCAACACCTTAACCTCAGTGCTAACAACTTCACTGGTGATATCCCACCTTCATTAGCTCAACTTAAAGGGTTGATCACCTTGTACTTGGATTCCAATTCGTTTAATGGCACGTTCCCTTCCGAGCTGGGACACTTGGAAAATCTCGAGGAATTGGTGTTAGCTTACAACTCTTTAGCCCCAAACAAATTGCCAAAAGAATTTGGGATGCTTAAGAATTTGAAGTTCCTTTGGATGACTCAATGCAACTTGATTGGTGAAATTCCGAAAAGTTTTGCCAAGCTATCTAGCCTTGAGCATTTAGACTTGGCTGAAAATAACTTGGAGGGCGAAATTCCTAGTGAGTTGTTCTTGCTCAAGAACTTGAAATTTTTATATCTGTACAGCAATATGTTGTCAGGGGAATTGCCAAACCCAGCTAAGGCCTTGAACTTGGTGGAATTGGACGTCTCAGGAAACAAATTGACAGGAATAATCCCTGAAGATTTTGGAAAGTTGCAGAAATTAGAAATTTTGAAATTGTCTCAGAACCAATTTCATGGAACAATTCCACCAAGTATAGCTCAGCTTACTTCCTTGAAGTCCCTGAGTTTGTTTATGAACCGGTTTTCTGGTTCACTTCCCACAGAAATGGGCCTGCACTCGGAACTTGAAGGCATAGAGGTGTCAGACAATGCATTCACCGGCCAACTGCCGGAGAATCTTTGCTACAACGGGAAGCTGTTAGGTGTTGTGGCATTCAACAACTATCTGAATGGCACAATCCCAACTTCTCTAGGCCAATGCAACTCTTTGTATGTTGTTCAACTCTACAACAACAGCTTTACAGGAGAAGTTCCTGATGGGATGTGGTCTTTGCAGGGTATGAAGATCATGTTACTTAGCAACAACCAATTTTCAGGCCAACTTCCTGACAAATTGGCTTGGAACTTGAGTCGTATGGAAATCAGCAACAACAAAATATCTGGTAAAATTCCGTCAAGTGTAAGCACTTGGAGCAAATTGCAGGTGCTTAAAGCTAGCAACAACTTGATCGCCGGTCCTGTTCCGTTAGAGTTTACTAAGCTGCCACTACTTAACACTCTTTTACTTGATCACAATCAACTCTCAGGTGAGCTACCCTCTGAAATAATCTCATGGCAAAGATTAAACAGTTTAGACCTCTCTCATAACAAGCTTTCTGGTTCGATTCCTTCTGTTCTTGGCTCTTTACCTGTCCTTTCTTATCTTAATTTGTCTAATAACCAATTTTCCGGCCAACTTCCTCCTGAAGTTGGCCAATTAAAGCTTAATTCACTCGATCTTTCTAACAATAAGTTTACTGGTAAAATCCCACTTGGGATTGACAACAGTGCATTCAAAAGTAGCTTCCTGCACACCCATCTATGCTCCAATACCGGATTCTTAGACCTCCCAAAATGCTCAAGTCATCAAAGAAACTTAAATTTGTCCTGCAAATATGTTGCTTTGGTCACAGTCCTTGCATTTATTGCCTTCATAGCAACTTTGTACTTCATTGTGGTCCTAATCAGAGAAAATTGGCAAAGTAAGAAAAGGCCAGATACTTGGAAACTGACCTCTTTTCATAAGCTACCGTTCACAGAAGATAAAATCCTTGCTAACTTAAGTGAGAAAAATACGATTGGTTCAGGAGGATCCGGTAAAGTTTACTGGATCCCCATTAACCAATCAGGGGAAGCGGTTGCGGTTAAGAGGATATGGAATAACAAGAAAAAGAGCAACAATTTGGAAAAAGAGTTCATTGCTGAGGTCCAGGTTCTGGGTAATATTAGGCATCTCAACATAGTGAAGTTACTTTGCTGTATTTCGAGTGAAAGCTCGAAATTGCTTGTGTATGAGTACATGGAGAAACAAAGCCTGGATAAATGGATCCATAAGAATAAAAGGCAGCCTGTTTCATCCATGAGTGGTTTGGTTCAACAAGCAGTTTTGGACTGGCCTGCTAGATTGAAAATTGCTATTGATGCTGCTCAAGGATTAAGTTATATGCACAATGATTGTTCACCTCCTATAGTTCATAGGGATATAAAATCCAGTAATATTTTGCTAGATTCCGAATTTAATGCAAAGATTGCTGATTTCGGGTTAGCAAGGATTTTGGCTAAGCCAGGAGGAGAGCCTAATACAGTCTCTGCTGTTGCTGGATCTTTTGGTTACATGGCCCCAGGTAAGTTTTCCAGCTTACTCTTATCATATAAAAAGTATATGTTGTAAACAGGAAAATATTTCAAAGATGATTTCTACCAATATACTATCTGCTTTTATTAAATGAAGATGAATGTGTTTTCCATCTGATTGTGAATTGCAGAATATTGCTATACAAGCAAAGTGAATGAGAAGATTGATATATACAGCTTCGGAGTAGTTCTACTAGAGTTAGTGACAGGGAAAGAACCTCACATTGGAGATGAGCACACAAACCTCGCAGAGTGGGCATTGAGGCATTTTCATGAGGGACATCCAATCATAGACGTCCTTGATAAGGAAGTGCTAGAACCTTGTCACTTGGAAGAGATGACAAATGTGTTCAAGATAGGCTTGATTTGCACCAGTGCATTACCTTCTTTAAGGCCATCAATGAAGCAGGTTTTGCAATTGCTTCAACGATATAGCATTCTAGAAGGTCCTGGTGGAGGAAGAACAAAGAATGACCGCGATATATCCCCTCTTCTTGGAGGCAGAAACTACATCTCTAGCTGTAAGAATAGCAGGAGGACATTAGATGAAGATGACTATGACATAGTATAATTTAGTTTGTACCCTAAATCAGAATAAAATCAGTGTGATCTTTGTTTGATCATAGGAAGTAGTGATTAGCTTACCGCATTTCCTATATTAGTAGGGTAGTGATAAGTTTCTGAATTCAATCCCTTATAGTTTTATCACAAATTCTAACAGTATAGAGTCAAATAACTACAACTTATATCTAAGCCAAGGAACAACCTCCGAAAAATTCATTCCTTCAATGAAGAGTCCATAACAATGAACAACTCTCTAACAAGGTCAAGGACTACCCACTTCATCATATATGCAAATTTAAACATGCCGTTCCATTTTAACTCCATATTTTCCATCACATTTATCTTCCACTTGCTTATTACACATCGAAGTCAGAAGGTGCAGCAGGCCAACATTTCATAATTATGTTAAAGATAACTACATTAACCAAAGTTTACAAACTAAGTTCTTGACGTAAATTCAGGAACTAATGCCGCAAAAAATCTCATAAGCTCCTCTTGAGTCTTGAGAGGAGCCTGTTTGAGAAAACATCCATGATGTCAGATGAAGCTACCGGTCAGGCGAAGCCAATTTTGCTGTAGGGGAGCTTGCAAGTTCCCCAAGATACACAGTTTTGAACGTGTGCAAAGTGCAATACTTTCCAAGATGCAAAAACTGTTAATGACATCTCTTGTTGTATTTGTATTGCATTTGTGTGTAACAGTCTTTCCTACGGTTTTGAATATTGACTTATGAGTGGTACTGTTAAGTATTAGCCTAATTTTGTTCCAGACTAGTATAGATCTTTTTACAGCTATACAGGGTGACTTTCACATTAACTTGCAAATTACGACCACATAGGTGAAATTTTCTATCTCAAATCATACAATTTTTTTCTCACAAATCAATGATTGCAAAGAACAAAGAAAACAACAACGCGTAAAATTATGTGAACCAAATTAAAAGGACAACGATTAAGAATAGAGGGAAGACTTGCCAGTCAGTCAACCGGTTGGGATAGATCGTTTATCTCTATTACGTCTCATCTTGTGTCTCACGTCCACTCAATTTAACAATCACCACCTATTATACGACATTGTTTGGCTATCAAGTAGCAATCAACAAAACGTAAAGATCAAACAGCAAGTATTTACCATAAAAGAGGGAAAAGAAGCTGGAGAATGATCAAACTTGGTAGGGCATCCTTGCTGATGTAGTCAAGACAAAGGAACTGAATGTAGATAAACCAAATTTCCTATCAGCTTCCTCCTCAATACACACCTTACATGTCCTTTTCGGCATAGTTTTGGGTTGAATTGTAGGTCACCGTCATCTTCGCATAGGAATGAAGCATGAGGAGCATAACCCTTATAGAATGGAAAATCTTGAATCATCCTTACTCTGAATTTTAAGTAGCTAAGGGGCAGACTGCAGCATCAACTCTACTAGACACTACTGAGATTATCTTGGTATTTTTCTGAAGGAATCACATCATACAAGCTGCTACAAACCATAATATGAAACAACATTAGCACTTGTTGAAGTGTAAACATGATTAAATCTCATAACTTCATAAGCTCCTCCAAAAAAGAACCTACATAAAGGTAAAACCATAAAAAAATATAAAGCACTGAAGGGAAGACAATGTGTGCACTTGTCGTTGTTAAGTTCACAACTAAACTAACAATTGCACAGCAGTAAATTGTTAAGAGGATAAAATTAATCCAGAAGCTGCAGTAATTATTAAATAAAGTAACTATCATTGAATAATCTTAGATCAATCATGAATCCAATGAGGATCAAAAGACAAACGAGGAGATAAGAACTCAGGCTCTTCAATTAGAGGGATGACTTTATCAGTCAACTGGAGAAATGCTGATAACCAAACTACGTAATTTCTGTGAAATGGGGCAAACTCTGTAATCACTATTAATGAACTAACTCCGTATCTGGACTCTAGCATAAACGCTAGTCGAAATCAGTTCAAGTTTTCTATTATTGTTTCTAAGGCTGAATAAATTGAAACCATCAAATTTCCAAAATTTCCCACTTTTAGTTAACTTCTCTGCCTTCAACTTCCAAAAGCGCAAATTATATTTAGGGGAAAAGACACAAGCTACTCAAAAATCACATTAAAAATGTCAAAAATTTACCTTCCTTGCCCCAAATTTCTCCCTTTGTTCACTCTCCTTACCTCGCAACAATTTGGAAAAAGAGTTCATTGCTGAGGTCCAGGTTCTGGGTACTATAAGGCATCTCAACATAGTAAAGTTACTTTGCTGTATTTCGAGTGAAAACTCGAAATTGCTTGTGTACGAGTACATGGAGAAACAAAGCCTGGATAAATGGATCCATAAGAGTAAAAGCCAACATGTTTAAACAATGAGTGGTTCGGTTCAACAAGTAGTTTTAGACTGGCCAGCTAGATTGAAAATTGCGATTGATGCTGCTCAAGGATAGAATTATATACACAATGATTGTTCACCTTCTATAGTACATAGGGATGTAAAATCTAGTAATATTTTGCTAGATTCCACATTCAATGCAAAAATTGCAGAATATTGCTATATAACCAAGGTGAATGAGAAGATCGATATATACAGCTTCGAAGTAGTTCTACTCAAGTTAGTGACAGGGAAAGAACCTCACATTGGAGATGAGCACACAAAGCTCACAGAGTGGGAATTGAGGCATTTTAATGAGGGAGATCCAATCATAGATGTCTTAGATAAGAAAGTGCTGGAACCTAGTCATTTGGAAGAGATGACAAATGTGTTCAAGATAGGGTTGATGTGCACCAGTGTATTACCTTCTTTTAGGCCATCAATAAAGGAGATTTTGCATTTGCTTCAACGACATAGCATTCTTGAAGGTTCTGGTGGAGGAAGGACAAAGAATGACCGCGATATTTCCCCTCTTCTTGGAGGCAGAAACTACATCTCTATCTGTAAGAATAGCAGGAGGACATTAGAAGAAGATGACTATGACATGGTCTAAGTTTGTAACTTTAAACACAAAAATCAGAATATATAAAAAAAAGTGTGATCTTTGTATGATAGGAAGTAGTTTGATGATAGATGGGTATCAAGTAGTGTAGATATATTCTCCCTTCGTCTGAAAATAATAATGGCTTACTGCATTTCACATGTTCATAGGGCAGTGATTGGCTTTTACAAAATACACTCACCAAGATATTATATGATTAAATGTAATAATCATCAAACTATGATGATAATTGAGCTGTATATAGCTAAAGCCTCCTCTGTAACTAGCAAGCAAAATAATTACAAAAATGTAATGTAGTTTCTGCAACAGAACTATGAATAAAATATCAAGGAATATTTCTAGCTTTCTTCATGAGGAAAACCCAAATTGATATGCCTAATCCCAAAATAGTACTCCCTCCGTTTTTAAATACTTTCTCCATTTCTCCATGCGCGGAGTTTTAGGAGAAATTGGGGAAAGTAATAAAATATGGAAGTAGTGGGGTTAGTGAAAGGTAAATTGAAGAATAGATAATATAAAGGTAATAAAATATAATTATATTTACCTAGTATAGCAGTAATTCTTTCTAAAAAGTAAGAATCAACTACTGTGAATTACTACAAAATAGCAACAGTTGTATTTATTTTATGTGCGCTTCACTTGAAAATTGGATGATCTACAAAATAACAGCAGTACTAGCCTACTAGGGATTATATTTTCATGGAAAAAGAATTAAACAAAGAGTAAAGGGCAGCAGATGTACTACTATTATGACTTTATCAGTAGTACAATGCCTTTTTGATATGCGTTCTAGGTCCTTAATTATACGGGATTTGGCTAAGGTGACTATTATTTGCCAATGGAGTGAGTAAAATAATCGCACAATAGTTCAACCAGAGCATAGTTAGAAAACAAAAAGATTAAGCCTGTAAGTATTTACCATAAACGAGAGGAAAAAGAAGCTGGAGAATGATCTAACTTGGTAGGGCATACTTGCTGCTGTAGTCAAGAAAAAGTAAACTGCAAGAATTCACACAAGAAGAAACAAATTCATCAAATAAACATTCTTGGTCCACATTTTTTGGCTTTCACTTAATAATTAGCAATTCAATGAACTTAGTTACACACACACGCACAAAAAAAAAAAACAAAAAAAAAATATTAATCAGAAAATCATTGAGCTTACTGACCATTTTTTCCCATCAACTTCCATTTCAGTCCTAACTTTACATGTCCTTTTGGTGTAGTTTCAGTTTTGGTTTTAGTTCACCGTCCGTGAACAGCAATAATCCATCCCAATAATATTAATAACTTCAGAAATAAGAACACAATCCTTGTAGAAGGGCAAATCTACGATCATCCTTACTGTATTTTATGCAGCAAAGGGGAAATCTGCAGCATTAATTCTGCCCATTAGCCATTGAGATGATCTGAGACTAACAAACTTGATCCTCGATATTTTTGCAGAAGATACTTACAGCATGCAAATTAGAAAACATCTAACACATTTGATATCTGCAAACAGGATTAAACTTCCTCCAGAGAAGTAAACGCAGTGTAAGAAAACAATCGAAAAAAAACAATTGAGCACAACAAATTTTTATTATCAACTGATGTGAACATATATTTAGTTAATAAAAGATCCATAGACCAGAGAAAAGCAGATAATAACAACACAAAACTCCTCTATTATTAGAGTGAAGACTTATCAGTCAACTAGTGGGACTGATTTCCAAATTCCGTACTTTCTGTTTGAAATGGGGAAATACTGAAAAGCTAATTACATTACTCAATTCTTAAAGTGTTTTTCACGAGATTAAACTAATTGGATCTACTTGTAATCAGTATTAATGAACATCTATGTACCAGTACTAGTGCGAACATACACACGAAAATCACACTTGTATATTCTTAAAGGGATGACTAATCAGTCAACTTATCCAAACTACGTACTTTCTGTGAAAACAGAGAAACTCTGTCATCACTTTAATATAAACACAATAGTCTTAAGCAGTTCAACTTTACTATACTTGCTCCGGCTACAAGAATTGAAACCTTCAAATTTCCCATCTCTTTGTTCCAAAATTCCCACTTTTAGTTATAGGTTCACAGCCTTTAACTCCCAAAAGCACAGATTATATTGTAATTAAGGGAAAAGACATAAGCTACTCAAAACCACATAAAAAATGTCAAAAATACACCTTCCTTGCCCCAAATTCTTCCTTTTGTTAGCTCTCCTTACCTTTCTACCCTTTTTGATTATTTCACAACCTTCCCTCTCAGAACAAGAAATCCTATTGCAAATCAAGCACCAATGGAGCAATCAACCACCAATGAGTTCATGGAATTCCACCACCCCCTTTTGTCAATGGCCTGGAATCAACTGCACTGGTGGTGTAACAGTCACCGGAATTTCACTCAATAGCCAAAACGTTGAAGGCGAAATCCCATCATCCATTTGTGATCTCAAGAATCTCACCCTACTTGATCTTGGAAACAATAATATCATAGGTAACTTTCCTACATTTCTATACAATTGTACCATGCTCCAAAAATTAGACCTTTCCCAAAACTACTTTGTTGGGAAATTACCAGATGACATAAATAAACTTCCGCCTACTCTTCAATACCTTATCATTAGCGGTAACAACTTTACTGGTGATATCCCACCTTCATTAGCTCAACTTAAAGGGTTGATCAACTTGTATCTAGATTCCAACTTATTTAACGGCACGTTCCCATCCGAGTTGGGACATTTGATAAATCTTGAGGAATTGGTGTTAGCTTACAACCCTTTTGCCCGGAACAACTTGCCCAAAGAATTCGGGAAGCTTATGAATCTGAAGTTCCTTTGGATGACTGAATGCAATTTGATTGGTGAAATCCCAAAAGAATTTACCAATCTAACTAGCCTTGTGCATTTAGACTTGGTTGGAAATAACTTGGAGGGCGAAATTCCAAGTGGGTTATTCTTGCTCAAGAGCTTGAAAAAATTATATCTGTACAAGAATAGGCTATTTGGGGGAATGCCTACCTCAATTGAAGCCTTGAACTTGGTGGAATTGGACGTCTCACAAAACAATTTGACAGGTATAATCCCAGACGATATTGGAAAGCTGAGAAAATTAGAGATTTTGAATTTGTTTCAAAACCAATTCCATGGAATAATTCCACCAAGTATAGGTCAGCTTCCTTCTTTGAAAAGGCTTGGTTTGTTTATGAACCAGTTTAGAGGTTCACTTCCCTCAGAATTGGGCCTACACTCAAAACTCGAAAGCTTCGAGGTGTCAGACAATGCATTTATCGGTCAACTGCCGGAGAATCTTGGCTACAATGGGGATTTGTCGAGTATTGTGGCATTCAACAACAACCTTAATGGGACAATCTCGACTTCTCAATTGACAGCAAATCTTATTTGGCTCGACATAAGCAATAACAAATTTTCAGGTCCTATTCCATCTAGTATTGCCAAATGTGAAAATCTTCTTGTGTTCAAGGCAAGCAACAACCAATTATGGGGCAAAATTCCAATGGAGTTGACTGCTCTCTCATCTCTTTATAGTCTTCGACTCGATGGAAATCAATTATCAGGTGAGCTGCCATCGAGCCTAAGTTCATGGGAGTCACTGGCTATTCTAAACATTTCAAAGAATAACCTTTCTGGTCCTCTCCCAGCAGCCTTAGGTTCTATACCTCACCTTCAAATTTTGGACTTGTCCCAAAATAAGCTATCAGGCCAAATTCCATATAAATTAACACAGCAAATATCACTGCAAAACCTTATCACACTTAATCTCTCATCCAATAACCTCAAAGGGAAAATCCCTCGTGAGTTCGACAATAAGGCATTTAATCTCAGTTTCTTGAACAATGCTAATTTGTGTTCAGATAAACAAATTTCACGTCTTCCTCCATGTTTTACCTCTCATCACCGATATCTTGTTGAGATTCTAGTTCCTGGAGCAATCATTTTCCTAATATTTCTGTGTTTCACTTTCTTCAAGATAAACATGGGGAGACATGAAACGCATGGTAGTGAGCAACAAGCATGGGAACTTAAACCATTTCACCGAATAGAATTCACAGAAGCGGTGATTGTGTCTAGCCTGACAAACAATAACTTGATAGGTACTGGGGGGTCAGGAAAGGTATACATGGCCCCTGTAAATGATTTAGGCAACAAAGTGGCTGTCAAGAGAATTTGGAATGGTAGAAAACTAGAAGACGCTCTTGAAAAGCAATTTCTAACAGAAGTTGAGTTTTTGGGCACATTAAGGCATGCTAATATAGTGAAGTTGTTGTGTTGTGTCTCAAGTGCGCAAGAAAAGCTTCTTGTATATGAATATATGGAGAATCAGAGTCTTGATAAGTGGCTTCACAAGAGACGAAGAGCAAATGAACCATCATCAATGAACTCAGAGGCATCAAGAAGCAATCTGGAACTGTATATTGTTTTGGATTGGCCAACGCGTTTGAAGATTGCAGTTGGAGCTGCAAATGGGCTATGTTATTTGCATCATGCCTGCTGTCCTGTCATCATTCACAGAGATGTGAAATCAAGCAATATTTTGTTAGACTCTGAGTTCAACGCCAAGATAGCAGATTTTGGACTAGCTAAGGTGACAATCAAGGCCAAAGGACCTCACACTGCATCTGCTATTGCAGGCTCTTTTGGTTACATAGCCCCAGGTTGGTTTCCTGTGAACACTTTATTTTTTATCCAATCTACTTTTTATAAATGGGATTTATTTATTCAGTTGATATTTTCTTAAATTTTGCTTTATTACTTCTACGGCAAATAAATATTATCTTTTATACGACATATTTCTTAAACACCACATGCTCCACTAATACTATTAGTAAATAATAGCCGGAAACAATCTTACTATACTATCCAAAAAAAAAAAAAAAAATCCTATCCAAAAATTCAAAATATGAAACCACTTTCCACTAGAGGTGGCCAGTGGGCCGGGTTGGACCCAGTCCACCCTAACTCGCACGGCTGGTGGGTCACGTGGGTCCGACCCGGTTTCAATCCGGCACAGCCCGGCACAGCTCGGATTTAATCCGGGTTGTGTCGTGGGTCCAAAATTTTCGACACAACCCATTTCAACCCAGCTCAGTTTAACCCGTTTGATTCGACCCAAATCGCACAACCCGTTTTGACTCATTTAATTCGACACACCTAGCCCGTGAACCCACCTAACCCGACCCACCTGGCACAACCCAGCCCGCACGGCCCACCCGCACGAATGACCCACCCAACCCGCACGAGCCAACCCACCTAACCCGCACGCATGACCCACCCAACCCGCACGCATGACCCACCCAACCCGCACGGCCGGCACAACCCGCACGGCCCGCACAACCCGCACGGCCCGCACAGCCCGCACAATTCGCACGACCCGCACGGCCCGCACGGCCTAACATCCATTTTAAAAAAAAAAACGGCTAGTTTTTTGTATCTAACGGCTAGTTTTTTGTATCTAACGGCTAGTTTTTTAAGTGTATGATCATCCATTCTATTTTTCCTATAAATACCAATTCCATTTCACTCAAATTTCCACACAAATTCAAGCTTTCTTTCTCTCTTACTTAAAAATTCTTATTGTTCTCAAATTCTCAAGTGTTATATAGAGTTATATTTTTGTTAAAAAAAATCTCCTTAATATTATTATTAGTATTCTTAAGATTCTAAAAAAAAAAAGTTCTTCTCCATATTATAATTAGTAATCATACAAAAAAAAAATGAGCTCAAGAGGAGGAATGGGAAGGAGTCAAAGTGGTGGTCGAAGTGGTAGCCAAAGGAGTGGTGGTGCAAATTTTTCGTATGAAATTAATACGGAAAATTTAAACCAATTTGTCAATGAATATGGAGATTATGGTTTAGGAGATAGGCAAAATATTCAAACGTCTCCACCACAACATTTCTCCCACGAGTCCCACCAATCATCAAGTTCAACTATGCCACCTCCATCGCAACCAACATCTCAACCTTCATCTCAAGGTAATTTCTAATTAAATTTTTATTGTTATGAATATTTAAAAAAACTATTATTAATGATTATAAAGTTAGTTTAGTTTCCAATTTTCTATGATTTACAATTAGTTAATTACCATGAAAAATGCGTTTAAATAAGTATAATTAAAATATTTAAAATTTAAAAGCTTATTTTCATGAATAGCATTTAAAAATTAATTTTAATAATTTGATTTATGAAAGGTGGTGGCGGTGAAAGTAGAGGTCGAGCACATTTTTCTTGGGTGTGGAAACATTTTGAACGAGTTGAGGTCACACCCCCGGGATGGCAACCTGGTCAACCAAAGAGGTTCACGTGTACATGCCTAGTTTGCAAGGCGCTAGGTGCAAATGTCAAGTCATATAATTGGAAAACGGGAGATGGAACCGGAACCTTGAGTCGGCATTTGCAAAATAAACACGACTTGTTCGAAAATGGCCCCCGTCCTTCGGGGGGTGGCGTCCAAACACAATTGGGTGGATACATGAACCAACCCGGCGGAGGTACACCTTTCATTTATAATAAAGATAGAATGATTGATGAAATGAGTACTTTAGTTATTGCTAATGAATACCCTTTTAGTTACGGTGAAAATGCAAACGTTGAGCATTTTAATAAAGTTGCATTACAACCTGCATTTACTCGTGTCCCCCGAAATACCCTAAGACGTTATACACAAACTTCTTATTATAAGTATAGGAGTGGTTTGATTGAATTATTTCGTACTTTTGATGGTCGTGTTAGTTTTACAAGTGATACATGGACTTCTAGTTTTGGCGAACCTTTTCTTTGCATTACTGCTCATTGGGTGGATGATGATTGGTTTATTCAAAAACGTATACTATGTTTTCAAGCTATGGAAGAAAGGCATACCGGTTTTAACATCAAAGTTCGTATTTTGGATTGTTTAAAAGAATTTCACTTGAATAATAAAGTTTTTTCTTTGTCTCTTGATAATGCAACTGCAAACACAAAGTGTATTGACTATTTGAAAAATGACTCCGAGTTGAATTTGTTGTTGGGTGGTAGTCTCTTGCATGTTAGATGTTGTGCTCATATTTTGAATTTGTCTGTTCAAGAGGGTCTCGCTGAGTTGCAACCATTGCTAAACCCAATTAGAACAGTTATAAAATGGATTAGGATTACTCAGTCAGTTAGAAGAAAGTACATAGCTATGTGTAAAGAGAGAGGTCTTAAGAAAAGACAATGGTCTATTGATACCCCTACCCGTTGGAATTCTACTTTCAAGTTGTTGAGTGATGCTATAAAGTATCGTGATATTTTGACCCAACTTTACAATGAGACTCGTGTTGATCCTACTGAGTTAATAACCGAAAGTCATTGGACTAATGCTTCTTTTGTTCGTGATGTTTTAAATGCTTTTGATAGTGCAACTCATATTTTCTCTTATATTTATGAGCCTAACGTTCATTTAGTCATAATTGAGTGTGTTAAAGTTGTTCACACCATCGAAGAGCATATGAAGATTGATGGACTTCGTCCCGTTCTTGATAGCATGAAACGTAAGTGGCATACTTATTTTAGTGAATTTCCAATCATTTATGGAATTGCTGCTATTCTTGACCCCGGTGTCAAAGCTGAAGGTTTGGAAAATCTTTTAGAATTTTATTATACAAGTTTAAGTATCGATTATGATGTTAGTGAATATATTAACAAATGCAAATCTGTTTTGGGAGACCTTTATGATCATTATGCATCTATTTATGGTTTTGATTTGGCAACACCAACTACTACTAGCACTTCCGATTCTAGATTTGGTTTTCTTGATAAAGTTATGAAAAAAAAAACACAAAGCATCTACATCATTCTCATCATCATCTTCTTCAACACTTGCTATTAATGATTATTTGTCATATCAACATGAGACCAACAACAACTTTCAAATTATAAAATGGTGGCAAGAACATAAAAAAAGTTTTCCTATATTGGCGAGAATTGCAAAAGATATACTTGCAGTTCCCGCTTCATCTGTTGCTTCCGAGTCTGCTTTTAGTGCAGGTAGAAGAGTGTTAGATGAAAAAAGATCTCGCTTAACTCCGGAAAGCATTCAAATTTGTGTTTGTAAGAAAGATTGGGATCAAGCTGAAAGAAGAACTCAAGGTTTAAAGGAAGACGAAGACGATGAAGATGATCCTGTGATGATATTGGAGTCGTCAACGGATGATGCAGCTTCCGGGGATGATGATGCAACAAACATGGGTGGCTAGAAAAGTCTAAATCAGGTACGCTAAGAACTACGTGGGCTTTGATTCTTTCGGGATACGTAGGCAACTTATTTTTCGAAAATTACAATTTAATTGCAAAATTAAATTTTAGTTTTCTAAAGATAGGTCCAAGCCCCCCCCCCCAAATTTCAAAAGAAGTACAATATAAGAACTACGCTGGCTTTGATTCCTTATTTTATAATATAAGGATACGTAGGCATCTTAATTAAGAGCAAGCCATCAAATTGTTAATTTTGTAAAAATTAAAACACCACACAACCCACCCGACCCTAACCCACGAACCCACCCGACCCTAACCCACAAACCCACCCGACCCTAACCCACCTAACCCACAAACCCACCCGACCCTAACCCACTAACCCACCCGACCCTAACCCACCTAACCCACAAACCCACCCGACCCTAACCCACTAACCCACCCTTCGACCCACCCTAACTCACTAACCCACCTTGACCCGTCTAACCCACGAACCTAGCTCGACCCACCCATGACCCGTCTAACCCACAAACCCAGCTCGACCCACCCACGATCCGTCTAACCCACAAACCCAGCTCGACCCACCCACGACTCGTCTAACCCACGAACCTAACCCTGGTGTGTCCAACTTCTCCGACCCAACCCACGACCCGGCCCACCCTACCCTACGTGTGTCGTGCCGTGTGTCATGAAACCCCAACCCGCGACCCACCTAACCCTAACCCAGCTCGCACGACTCGCACGGTGGACACCTCTACTTTCCACCAAGTACCTCATTTAATGATTTTTGTAGCTACAAACAGTAGGAAGATTATGGAGTGTCATAGATTTAGTAAAGATCACAGATTCACAGTGATAAAACTGCATGTGATTTCATGTTTATAATTTAAAATCATAGCTTGCCACAAAACACTTTGAAAACCTCAATAGGGTCACCTCTTCCATAATCATCAGCACCTCTAAGGGAGGAAAACAAAACCACCATATAAACTCTTGTATCTCTAATTTCCTCTCATTTTTTCACATGGATACATAGAATATTGGCGTACAAAAAGGCTAGACGAAAAGATTGATGTCTACAGCTTTGGAGTTGTGCTTCTTGAGCTAACCACAGGAAAACATCCCTGCAAGGGAAACGATCATTTGAACCTGGCAGACTGGTCATGGAAGCATTGTTGTGAGGAACATCCCATAACTGATGCTTTAGATGAGGAAATCAAGGAACCAAGATTCATAGAACAGATGGTGAATGTGTTTAAGCTAGGTGTCATGTGCACAAGCCAAACGCCTAATTCAAGACCAACTATGAAGCAAGTTGTTCAGCTCCTTATTAAATGGAGCCACGATGAAGACCATGATCAGACACAAACGACTAATGAGGCATGAGTATGTTGAAACTCGAAACCCTCCCCTGATGTAGAAAGAATTACTTGCAACTCAGCTCAAGGGCACACAATTAAAGGAGATTTGAGGTGAGTTGCAAGTAAAATGAAACAGAGGATGTATGTCTTAGCTCTAGGATCTACAACCAACTTCACCTACTATAAGGAAAACCCTCTCTGAGTGATGTAAAGGGGGGAAATATAATTGGTCGTTATTCAGCAGTCACTCCTATGTACATATATTATCTCTATATGTAACACTTCCCAGCATCAGAAGGGAATTATATAACTTTTGAGATGTAAAATCATTTTCGGTGCTTCCAGATTCAATTTCCCATTACACCAAGTAAATTTCATTTTCTTTAGTTGCGAAAAATAATCTTTCTAAAAAAAATTGCCAAAATTAGTGAAATGTCAATCAATTTTAGTAAGCAACATTTCTTGAAAAATCTAAGCAACACATGATACAAAAGTGTTTTTTTTTTCTTGATCTTTCAGATGAGTGCCAATATGTATAAATTAAGGCAGTTTCCGGTTTTGTAAACAAACATTGCATTCCACAAATCAAATATATTAGCAGCTGAGAATATATAGTTGTCTTAACCATTAACAGAAAATAATTCATATGTTAATACTAATTCATCAAAATCAAGAAAAATTGAAATGTCCCATTAAAAGTAATCAAATTTAATATCAGAAATCACATAAAATGTTAATACAAATTCAGAAACAGCAGGAAAAATTGAAATATCCCATTAAATGTAATCAAATATAATATCAGAAATCACATAAAATGTTAATACTAATTCATCAACAGCAGGAAAAATTGAAATATCCCATTAAAAGTAATCAAATTTAACATCAAAAATCACCTAAAATTAGACACTGTACCAGCCTAAGTATAATTATAAGTTCAAATAATGAGATTGATACTCCTGTTGCGAATTTAATAGCCAATTAAACGGAAGCATGACGCTAAATTAGGTTACAATTTCAAAATTATGCAGTTTAAAAGGATTAAAAAGATGAAATGAATGCAATTCAATGAATAATAATAATAATAATAATAATAATAAGGAAAATTTGCAAATTACCACCCACAAAATATACCTATTTTAATATAACCACCCAAAAAAAATATATTGTAAAATACCACCCACTAATTTAAAAAAACGCTCAGATTGCCACCCATTTAGAATTTCCGGTGGAATTTCCGTCTGTGGGCCCCACTTTTTTTATTTTTTTCCTTTTTTTTCTTCTATTTTACAGATTTCTCACTCTCTCTCCCCGATTTTTCACTCTTCTTCTTCCTACCTTCTTTCTTTCTTATTCCCAACCACCACCACCACCATTGCTCCACCTTTTCTAGCAAATCACCTATCTCCTTTTCCAGCAACACCGAAAACCACCCCTCCCCTTCCCCCCAACCCCCTGAAAAACCATTCATTCCGTTCGCCAGCCCCCCCTTAGTTCCGCCACTGCCTCCTTCGTTCCAAATCGCCACCACCGCACCAAATCGCCACCACCGTTCCACCTACAGCCTGCAATTGAGCCACCAAGCACCACAAAATCGCCACCAAATCCGTGCAAAACTGCCCATGTTAACCCACACACACCAAATCGCACCAAATTGCCACCAATCGCACCAAATCGCCACCACCGCACCAAATCACCACCATTGTTCCAACTTTGGCCCGCAATTGAGCCACAAATCGCCACCACTTCCCAATTCAATAATACAGGTACCCTAATTGTTGAAATAACACAACTAATTCCCCAATTTTCCCCAATTCAAGGGCAACAAGAACCCTAATTAACTAATCCCCCATTTTTTCCCCAATTACAGTTCTTGTGGATGCTTCTGCAATTAGGGGAAGCGTTTTTTGTGAAATTTTGGGAAAATTTGAAGAAGAAGATGGTGTTTTACTATGGAGAAGTGTTTAATGGGAAAAAATCGAGGAAGCAATGAGTTAAAAACCAAAAAATAGCTGTTATTAGCCGTTGAGTGGGGTCCACAAACCGAAATTCCACCGGAAATTCTAAATGGGTGGCAATCTGAGCGTTTTTTTTATTTTAGTGGGTGGTAATTTAAAATAAAATTTTAACTGGGTGGTTATTTAGAAATTGATACTATTTTTGGGTGGTAATTTGCAAATTTTCCTAATAATAATAATAATAATAATACAAAATTAAAGTGTATGTTTAAGCAATTGACTAACCTGTTGTTGGAATGAAATCCCCAAATCATTGGTAAGTAAGATGTTAATGGACAATTATACGTGCCGAAACAACATTTTGGTTTTTTTTTTTTTTTTTTTTTTTTTTTAGAGACTAGAGAGCTACATACCGGGGTAAGAATATATCCAAAGATCTTCTAGAACTACTCCGTTTCACATTTTTGCAACGATTTGACATAAAACAGAGAGGAAAAATGTCTAATCGTTGCAAATAATATGAAATAGAGTTAGTAGAAAAAAAGCTCTAACAACTTGAGATATCCTTCATTCTCATTATTGGAAATTTACTTTTAGTTTTGACATTTTTGAGACAATAAATCTTGTTTAGTGCAACCTTACGTTAATTTTATTATAAAACCCAAGAGTTGGTTATTGGATAAAAATATAGAATAGTCCAATGATAATAGGGTTTGGATCAAGTTTAAAAGGCTTTTAATAGACAAGCCCTTATTGGGTAGGGTCATATATATAGGGTCAATATATTTTTCCAATAATATAGACAAACAATATATGTAGTAGATAATACAAAAATAAGGAAACTTTGCATATAATCACCTTTTAAATCTTTTTTTTTTTTTTTAAAAAAAAAAAAAAAAAAAAAAAAACCACCTTTTAAAAAAATGTTGCTAAAAACCATCAAATTTTTTTTAAAAAAAATTATTGCAACTTACCACCAACTGCCGGAAAATGAATGCTGACCACACTTTTCTCCAGCGTTGACCTAGTCACGTGGTGGTGGTGTTGACCTATTTTTTGTTATCATCTTCCTCCAAATCCACTACCTTTTTCTCTCCCCAAACATTTTAATTCATCCAAAAATGACGTAGCACTACGAGCCACATACTCCCCGTCATATCATGAGCAGCACCTCCATAACTCCTCCACGGATGGTCGGAGCTCGGTGGTATCGTCGTCGACATGGTGGGGATATGTGGATCCGGAACCTAAAGACCCAATTCTTGGTGTCCACCGAAACTTTCTTGGATAATCCTTCTCCTAACAAAGTCAATGTTTATTTATACGAATAAACATTATGCTACATGAAAATGAACATTTATTTTATAGAAATGAACATTTATTTTATAAAAATGAACATCATACTGTATGAACATAAACATTTAATTATTGAGAAATGCAAAATTATTGTAAAATATGTTCAGTTAACAAAATGTTCATTTCTGAGTGAGGGACCACGAATATGTAACTGGTCTCGAGACCCGTCTTCAACAACTAGACCACTGAGAGCAACATGGGCTCTCCCATATAAGCCCAACCCAGCCCATAATAAAACAAAGTATCTGAAAACCCTAGAAAAAGCTTAATACTTCCATAGCAGATTAGCAGCATCTTAAGTTCAGAGGAGAGAGAAAGAGAGAGAGTGAAGCTCAGACATTTGCAATGGCGGCGAAGCAGAGGAAACCACGAGTAACCCGAAACCCAGAATTGGTGAAGGGAGTCGGGAAATTCTCCCGATCAAAAATGTACCACAAACGTGGTCTTTGGGCTATCAAAGCTAAAAACGGCGGCGTTTTTCCTCGCCATGATCCTAAACCTGTTGAAGCTAAGTCAGTTGAGAAGACTTCTAAGTTCTACCCTGCTGATGATGTCAAGAAGCCATTGATTAACAAACGCAACCCTAAGCCTGCTAAACTCAGGTTTGTTATTTCTCGATTGTTTGTTTTTTTTTTTTTTCAAGGGATTTGGTTGTGATGTTTCATGTTTGAATTGGGTTTTGTTTTGTTTTTTTCAGAGCGAGTATTACTCCTGGTACGGTTTTGATCATTCTTGCTGGGAGGTTTAAGGGGAAGAGAGTCGTCTTCTTGAAGCAGCTTCCTTCTGGATTACTACTTGTTACTGGTTAGTTTCTCTGTTTAATTCTGTTTTAATTATATATATATAATGCTGTGATTGAAACGTTAATGTTGAGAAGATTGACTAATATAAGTACATAATGCTTTGATAGGAAAGGAAAAAAATGAAATTAATTGGGAGGTTGTGATGGCTTTATGTTGCTAATTGTTTGGTTATAATTGTTTTCGAGGAGTTATAGAAGATGAATGATCTTGCTTGTTTGCTTGCTTGATAGGTAGTGATCGAATTATGGTTTACATTTTGCATAAATTGCTTAGCACTTACATTGTTAACCCCTCAAATTCTATTAAAATTGTTATTTGAAAGTCTAATCTGATCAAAGCCAATAGAGTCATTTGTATTTGATAAAAATGGAAATTTATGCAAGTACAAGTGGATTCTTGTATATCCTGTAATGCAGCTTCATTTGGGGTTAAGAAATTATGGTATATTGCTAGTGCATGCTTACAATTAGTCAGTCATCATTCAAATCAGACCTGATGTATTATTATTTCACCGCTATTCCACCTTGAGCCTGCCAATTTCCCACCACCGTCACCATTTCTTTCCCCTCTCAACATTCTCTCTTCTAACTTCTTTCCTTGTATCATCGATAGTTTCCCTAAATTAAATCAAATCAATTGAATTTGATGATACCCCTCTTTTCTTTAATGAGCTACTTCGTATAATACTATTGGAATGTTGTATGAATAAGCTTAGAAGTATTAGATCATTCAAAAAGGATAATAAAGTGGGGAGGGAATTAGAGATTTGCATGGGTTGCGGTTGGGCAGTGTCAAATTATTCATCCTGTTTACTTCTAACCTCTTCCCTTCTATTATTAATGAGTAATAAAAAGAACAAAAATCAAATGTTCTTGTTTGACTTTGGAAATACGTCAAAGAGAACAAGAAATATGTTTTAATATGTCAATTGTATATTAGTCCAAATCTTGAAATATATATGGATGTAAGAGCTCTACTAAAATGCTTGTATTTTTGTGTGATTTACTAATTTTTTGTAGTGTTACAGGACCTTTCAAAATTAACGGTGTCCCCCTAAGGCGTGTGAACCAAGCTTATGTGATTGCCACCTCGACAAAGGTTGACATTTCTGGAGTTAATTTGGAGAAGTTTGATGACAAATACTTTGCCAAGAAGACTGAGAAGAAGAAGAAGAAGAAGGGAGAGGGGGAGTTTTTTGAAGCAGATAAGAAGGTTTGACATTCTGCCTCATGCATCCTCTTGCTCTTGTTTGTTGTTGAAAATTGGCTATTGTTTCTAAGCTGAATATGTATTTTCCGACTCATCTTTGTTTTCTGTCCTAAAATGCAGGAGGAAAATGTTCTTCCGCAAGAGAAGAAGGATGATCAAAAAACTGTTGATGCATTGATTGTGAAGTCAGTTGAGGGAGTGTCTGACTTGAAAGCTTACTTAGCTGCAAGATTTTCACTTAAGGCAGGCATGAAGCCACATGAGTTGGTTTTTTAAGGGGCAAGTTTTGGATCGTTGATTTTGCTTTGTTAATCTGTGTTTTTTGTATGCTTGCATATTGGTAGTACTTCCTGTATTCCTTAGTCCCATTTTGTAGTAGACATGGCTTACATATATTTAGATATGAAATATATCAAGGAATATTCTTTGGTTGACTCTTATCATTACAAGAAAATGCTCAAGAGTAACCTGTTTCTGATCTGTGGTGCATGGTACTAGTACATCAGTACATGTCTGGTTTTTGCTACTCCTTACTTTGATTTTGCCGTGGGAGGTGTATTACATGTTGGCAAACTGTCTCTTTGGTGGTTATTTGCAAGCATTTGATGAATAGGAAATTAAGAATATTATATTTGCAGGGCATTTTTAGTGTGCTTGAGGGAATATGTGGATGATTCATCTGGTTGAGTCTTGAATTAACGACTTCGAAATTTCTCTGTAGTACTAGCCTGCTAGGGATGTTCACAGACTTCACACTAGGTTAACTGTACTGTTAACCTTTTAACTAACCATATAATAAGTTCTTTTAAAAAAAAAAAAAAAAAAAAGAAATAAGTTCCATTTAGTTGATTATAAACGGATAAAGATTTTTAAAGGGTTATTAAGGGCCTGTTCTTAGGGGTGTTCATAAATCGGTCCGGACCGAAAAAATGGACCGGACCACCCCGGATTGAACCTGGACCGGACCAGACCAGACAGAATTAATCGGTCCGGTCTTCGGGTCTTGAAAGTCATTTTTCCGGTCCGGTCCAAAACTCTATAAAAACCGGTTTTGGACCGGACTGATTTTTTTATAAAAAATATGTGTGAAACCTTAAATAACGTTTAAAATTATCCTTAATAAGCTTAGAATACTTTAACTTTATAAGTTTTTTTGCACTAAACATACAAAAAAGACGCAAAAATGACGTTACAATATCGTTTTTTCCAATATTTTTTTTGTGTTTTCCTTGAGTTTATTAAAAATTAATATTCTTTTTTAAAAAATTCTTACATCGGTCCAAAACGGTCCGGTTCGGGTTTTAGACCGATTCTTTCGGTCCGGTCCGGGCTCGGTCCTAACTTAATCGGTCCGGTCTTCGGTTCTTAAAATTCTAATTTTCGGTATTCGGTCTTATCCGGGTTGGTCCGGTCCGGTCTTGGACCGATGAACAGCCCTACCTATTCTTTTCCGTTGAAATTCAATTCAGTTCAATTTAGTTCAGTTCAGTTAGCTCTTAATTTATGTCTAATGATATTGCTAATGATATAAAGCCAAATTTCATTCTTTTAAACTCTTATTACAACAACAATAGTAATAATAATAATAATAATAATAATAATAATATTAATAATAATAATAATAATAATAATAATAATAATAATAATAATAATAATAATAAAGAGAGTGGGTTAGGGTCTTGGGCCGTAGCAAATTTTAGCTTTTTTTTTTAATATATTTTTTTAAAATTTGTTTAAATGGGTTAGATACATGTAAGTGTTTTGTGTTCTTTTGTCATAATATTATTTTATTTTTAAATTAAATAGTATATGTGTTTAAAATGTTTAGAGGTTTCAAGTTTTTAATATATTTTCCATAAATTTTATAATTATATAGTATATTTTTCGTAAATATTTTAATATGTACATTTGTATATACACATATGTATAGTAATAAATAATCAATAAATAATCAAAGATCACTAATCCGTAGTTAAAAATCACTAATTAATAAGTTCAGTTCAGTTCAGCTGAGTTCAGTCAATCGGAACAGGCCCTAACTTACATAGTTATTTATATTTTCCTCAATAAAAAAATAAAAAAAATCGGTTAATCATTTACATAAAATTGTAATTGTAACCGTTAACCGTCATATTTAATGGATCGATTAACTAACGGTTAGGTAAATTAACTAATAAAACGTTGGTTACTTTTTACACCCTGACTTTGTACTCTTTGGAAAAAAAAAAAAAAAAAACAAAAAAACAGTAGAAAGATGACTAGGTTGTACGCAATACTAATTACTAAATGATGATAATGGTACTGGAATAATGGTAATGAATAAACCCAGTGAGTAAGCATACTTAATAATCATCTGTATTTCTTTTCAACCAACAACAAAATCAGTCTATTCCCTCTTTTTTCTGGTATTGACTCCAATTTCTTTAGGAACGTGTGGAGAAGCTCACTCAAATCCATCTTTGACTCGTCATTCAAGTTTAACAAAGACTAGAAATTTTGACTATGAACAAAATCTGAATGGGTAGCTGTTTATAATTTATAGGGGTTCTGGTTGATAAAACTGCAGAAAATAAACTGCATGCTTTTATGCTAGTATACAACCTTATGAAAATGTCATATTTCTTCTTACTTCCTACAAAAGTCTTGCTGTCTTTGCTATATCTCAGCATGGCTTGCTTTCCCTTGCTGGCTAGTTCCGAAAATCCGGTCTCAGAACAGGCAATCCTGCTGAAAATCAAGCAGCAATGGGGTAATCAACCCTCAATGCAACAGTGGACTTCAACCAGCTCCCCATGCCATTGGCCCGGAATAATTTGCACTGGTAGCGAAAGCATAACCGGAATCTCACTGAATAGCCAAAACATCAACGGAGAGATCCCTTCGTCCATTTGTGATCTTAAAAATCTCACCCTCCTTGATCTTGGAAACAATAACATCCAAGGTAATTTCCCCACTTTTTTATATAATTGCACCAAGCTCCAAACATTAGTCCTAGCTTCAAACTACTTTGTTGGGCAACTGCCAAATGATATACATAAGCTTTCTCCTAATCTTCAACACCTTCATCTTAGTGAGAACAATTTCACTGGTAGTATCCCTGCTTCACTGGCTCGACTCGAAAGGTTGATCACCTTGTATTTGGATTCCAATTTGTTCAATGGCACATTTCCTTCGCAGCTAGGAAACTTGGAGAACCTAGAAGAATTGGCGTTAACTAACAACTCATTTACTCCTATGAAAATTCCCAATGAATTTGGAAGGCTTAAGAGCTTAAGGTTTCTTTGGATGGAAAATTGCAATTTGATTGGTGAAATTCCTAATGATTTTGCTAGTCTAAAGAGCCTTGAGCGTTTAGACTTGGTGGAAAACAACTTAGTTGGCGAAATTCCAAGTGGGTTGTTCTTGCTCAAGAACTTGACATATATGTACTTGTATAAAAATAGGCTATCAGGGGGGATTCCAGCCTCGATCAGCTCCTTGAATTTGAAGGAAATCGATCTCTCGAACAACAATCTGACAGGAACTATCCCTGAAGTATTTGGAAATCTGCAAAAATTAGAGATCTTGAATTTATTTCAGAATCAATTCTATGGAAGAGTACCACCAAGTATAGGCTTGCTTCCTTCTTTGAAGATACTGAAGTTGTTTAGCAACCAGTTTTCAGGTCCACTTCCCTCAGAACTGGGCCAACACTCGAAACTACATCGCTTTGAAGTGGCAGATAATGCATTCACAGGCAAACTCCCAGAGAATCTTTGCTACAACAGGATGTTGTTAGGTGTTGTGGCATTCAACAATTATCTGAATGCGACAATCCCAGCATCTCTAGGCCAATGCGACTCTTTGCTTGTGGTTTTACTCAACAACAACAGCTTTTCAGGAGAAATTCCTAAAGGCTTATGGTCTTTGCAGCATGTTCAGACCATACGACTTAGCAACAACCAATTTTCAGGCCAACTTCCTGAGCATTTGGCTAGGAACTTGAGTCGCGTGGAAATCAGCAACAACAGATTTTCAGGGAAAATTCCATCAAGTGTAAGCACTTGGAGAAATTTACAAGTGTTTGCTGCAAGCAACAATATGATCACAGGTACTGTTCCATTGGAATTAACTAGCCTTACGCGCCTTAGCATTCTCTTGCTCGGTGGAAATCTACTCACAGGTGAGCTTCCCTCAGAACTTATCTCATGGCAAAGCTTGAACAGCTTGAATCTCTCTTATAACAAGCTTTCTGGCTCAATTCCCTCGGTTCTTGGCTCTTTGCCTGTTCTTAATTATCTTGATTTGTCGGATAATCAATTTTCTGGCCAAATTCCACCCGAATTGGGCAGCTTAGTGCTCAATTCACTTAACCTTTCCTCAAATGAGCTTACTGGGAAGATACCGTATGGGCTCGATAACAGTGTATTCAAGGCTAGTTTCTTGAACACCAAACTATGCTCTGATGATAGAATTTTAGACCTCCCAAAATGCTCAATTCATCGAAAAACCCCAAAAACGTTGTCCTCAAAATATCTAGCTTTAATTATAGTCCTTACTATAGTTGCCTTCCTAGCTATATTATACTTCATAGTGGTCATAATAAGTGAAATCAGGCAAAGAAAAAATAAGCAAGAACGCGATACTTGGAAACTGACCTCTTTCCAAAGGATACACTTCACAGAGCAGAAGATCCTTCATAACTTAATCGACAACAACGTTATTGGGTTTGGAGGATCCTGCAAAGTTTACAGAATACCGGTTAATCAATCAGGGGAAGTTGTCGCAGTTAAGAGAATATCGAACAGCAGGAATAAGAGCAACAGTTACGAAAAAGAGTTCACTGCTGAGGTCCAAATTCTAGGTACAATAAGGCATCTCAACATAGTGAAGTTACTTTGCTGTATTTCAACTGAAAGCTCGAAATTGCTTGTGTATGATTATATGGAGAAACAAAGCTTGGATAAGTGGATCCATGGGAGTAAAAGACGAGCCAATTTATCGATTAGTGAGTCGGTCCATCATGCAGTTTTGGACTGGCCTACTAGATTGAAAATTGCTATTGATGCTGCTCAAGGATTAAGTTATCTGCACCATGATTGCTCACCTCCTATTGTTCATAGAGATGTGAAATCCAGTAATATTTTGCTTGATTCCAAATTTAATGCCAAGATTGCTGATTTCGGGTTAGCAAAGATTTTGGCTAACCCAGGAGAATCTCACACAGTCTCTGTTGTTGCTGGATCTTTCGGATATATGGCTCCAGGTAATAAAACATCTAGCTTATATTTCTAAGATAATTCTAACAATAAATCCAAACTACTTGATAAGCTGACAGCAAAGTGTTTATTGTCTGAAACTTATTTTCAGAATATTGCTGTACAACCACGGTAGATGAGAAGATCGACGTCTACAGCTTTGGAGTAGTTTTACTTGAGCTAGTGACGGGGAAAGAGCCCCACATCGGAGATGAGAACTCAAACCTTGCAGAGTGGGCATGGAAGCATTACAGTGAAGGGAATTTAATTGAGGATGTTTTCGACAAGGAAGTGCAGGAGTCTTGCTACTTAGAAGAGATGAACAATGTGTTCAAGATTGGGTTGATGTGCACTAGCACATTACCTTCTTCAAGGCCATCAATGAAGCAGGTTTTACAGATACTTGAACAATGCAGCAATCTAGAAGATTTAGATAGAGCTAAGGCAAGGAATGAGCGCGGAATTATCCCTCTTCTTGGGGTGGGAATTCTATCAGTAGTAGTCTAGCTGTATAAATTCCAACAGGACACTTAACATAGGATATCTTGACACTTAAGTTAGATGAGAGCTAGATAACAGGAAGTGCAGAAAATATTGTCTTCCATTCATAATAACACATACTTCTTAGTATTAGAATAACCAAAACACTTCATTTTTTCCCTTTGTTGTAGCTTGTTTCAAGTTATGAGTTTGATTATACAGTTCCATGACTCATTACAGTTGTTGCAGTATTCCACAACTTTCCCTTTCCAGCTATCAAGTAAAATAAGCACAGAAAATCCTCTACTTGTCTCGATGTATATTTTCTAACTACTAGTCTCTTAATACGAAAGTGAAGACGTTACAAAAATCTGATCTTGTCCATGAACTGAAATTTTCGAGGTTCAACCTATACCGAGAAAGATAAGAAAAAAGAAGCTGGAGGAAGGAAGACCAAAACTGGTAGGCAGACTAGCCAAAGTAGTCCTAGTCAAGGAAATCCAGAAGCATAAAAGTTCAACCCTTTGAACATTTCTTGGTCAACCTTCTCCGGTTCACATTCACAAGAAGATTAGCAACAAATAATTTTCGACACTCTCATTTTCCTCCTCTCCTTGTTCTTGGATAGTAGCATCAGATTCAAGAGGAAAGAATTACTTGTTTTCAAGAGCATTCAGGTTTTCAGTTTTTTCACCCAATGAAAAGTCATACATCCACGAGGCGAAATTAGGAGTAATTACATTTGAATAAAATCATTTCACGAAATACTCTTAACACCACCAGTATGCCCTCCATACATAAAGCAGTCATTATGAATTCTGATACCGCAGTTGAGAAATTTCATGCTGTATGAAACTTTAGCATGCATATAACTTTCTCAATTCTCAAATATGAAATTCATACAGTGTATTTACATGTATTTCTGAACAGCAAAACATAAAAATAAATTCCAGTATATAAATCCATCAATGTCGAACCAACTAAACATAGAGCACGTCACATTGATCATCCACTAAATTCACACATCAAAGTCAGAATATGCAGCAAGCCAAGTGAAAGAAGAAAATTCCAGTACTAGCATATTTATAATCTCATCAGAGATGGTACATAACCCAAGTTTACAACTAAATTCATTACTTAAAATCTAGGCACTAATGCCGCAATAAATCACACTTCTCAGTCACTCTTCATTGTAATATACCTTTTTTTTTAACTTCCATTTTTCAGCTTTTTTTTTTTCTTTTTTTTTTTTTTTTTTTGGCTACAATACAGAAATTCACTTCCTACATGATGTAGCGGAGATCCCATTGAAGTCTGGTCTCAGGTATCTCCTGCCGATGACCCTGGTTAAGGGTTCACACAGTCTTCCCACATCCACAGCAACATTTGTGACGCTCTGAAGCAGCTTTTGAACAAGCAAGCTGCCTAGAGGAATAGAGAGAACTGCTACAAGGGATCCGCACGAACTACACCACATCCATAACCATACATACATCACAATTACGGGCATGAGAACTCAGAAAATTGCAGTTCTTTTCTTCCGCACGACAAGATTCCAGTGCACCTGGAAAACCATAATTTAATCCAGCAGTAAATTTTTGAAACTTACCAAAGCTGCTGGACTTCTATTTACAAGTGCTTCATGATGAGTATCTTTAATATGCTGTTTGCCATCAATCTCAGGTTCAACCTGCTAGAAGAAAAGAAAGGCCAGAGAACCAAACAACACAATACATGGTCACTAAATTTTGCAAAAAAAAGAGAATGAGATATTAATTTCATGCCTTGTGATTGGCTTCAGCACAACTTTTGTGGAATATGTAGTTCTACCTCGAGTTTCTATGGCCATGCCGACGGCAGTACTTGACTACAAAACGACAAGAGTAAAAAAAATTGTTGTTAGGTTCAACAATAAGGAAGATAATCAAAGAACCAAATGACAATTGTTGGGCCCTAGGCAAAACCAGGACCAGTAACACATGTTACTGATTGAATCTACATGTTTGTAGCTAGAAAAAAGCTGAAGAGACTGCTAGAAAAGCCATTAGAAAGAAACTTCAAGATACTCTACAAATAGATTGATGGTAAAGCAGATTCGAAATATTACAACACTGTTCAATAGAATAGAGTAATAAAAATAATGAAAGATTAATTCTTCAGGATCTGTCCTTTCTTTGATTGAAAAGAACTAGAGATAAGATCAGACCGGGGGAGGAAGGCATCAATATATAGGAGAACCCAGAAGTGCTTAAAGGCAAGAGCTTCCTTTTCACAACAGGCCAAAGTCTACACATCCTAAACAGTGAAAACAAGAAAAAAGAGACTGACAACAAAACGACAACAAAAAAGTCGGAAGTAATTAAATATAAACAAGAGAATATGATGAAAGCCTCAAACCTCTAGCTCTTCCGTCGATCCACCCTGCAAAACATCAGTCCCGCCCAGATATCCAATATCAGAATGCAAACCAGGATCAGCCCCACATAGATCATCCTGCAAAGACCCCTTTTTCCCTCACTAATTTCGAAACTTTACTATTCTCATGCCATCTGCCAGTTTCTTAACCCAAAGTCCTCATAACAGAGTAACTCACCTCATGATTGAGAGTCTGAGTGCCAGAGCTGGACACAAAATGGACCCCGTTTTCAGCTCCCTTGGTCTGCTCACAATGATCCATTACTTCATCAATATCATCCTTTGCAGCCCTCTCTATTAGGTCCTTTGCTCTACGGAAAGATTCAGTCTGAGAATTCTGAGTCTCAGAAATCTCTTCATCCTTTCTAACCAGACAAGCATCCATAATTCGATTACAGATGTCAAATGAAGCAAGATTCTCCTGGATGGAGGAGTCCTGCGACAGCGCATCCATTGTATGTGCTTCATTATCAACCACAGAAATATTATCAGTGATATCCTGCTTCTCCAGCGGAATGGTACTATGAATGGCACTGTCTAGCAGCACATTGTGTGAGTTCATACTTGTGTCACCATCCAAAAATGATGATGTATCTTGCACGTGGCAAAGCATGTCTGAGGTAGAGCTCAAAGGTGACGGAGTGTAATATCTAGAATTGAACTCTGGAGAAAGAGTTTCCAGCCGTTGCGGACTGATAGATGCCTTCTTCTCAAGACGTGATGGTGTCAGATCCCCCATCTCAGAATCCGTACGTCTCTTGAGTGGTCTATCAGTAGACCCAGGGATATTCCCTTCAGCATCACCACACATTTTTTCAACCTGCTGATTCATGTGTCTTCGAGGTCGTTTATAGCCTTCAGGAAAAACATATGGAGGAAGCTGCTTTCTACGAACATGCGACACAAATATATCCATGCCAGGTTTCCAATACATATACATATTAACCTCTTGCCTAAACTCATCAACAGTTCCTCGAATATCAAACTGCTGACCTTCTTTGACTTTCACCCCTTGTTTCCTCTGCAAGCCCATGAAGAAAGCACAATGGGCACATTCCTTAGATGTGTCTACAAATTCATATGGATAAGGATGGCACTGTAACATGCCAAATGTGTCTCTCTCTATCTGCAGATTACAAGCAATAATCAATAAGAATAACATATAATATTCTACAAGCTTAATGAGTCGTAAAGTCGTAACTCGTAAGGTACCAGGTCCAACTTGAAAGTTCAGCTAAAGCAATTACTACCTTCAAGGTAAGCTGCCGAAGTCGAGATTCTACCCAGCCTTTCCAAGCCAACAAATCATCTGCATTATCCGCAATGATATCAACTTGCAAGTAGTTTTTGTACGACTCAAAGAAAAGGTATGGCTCAAAAAGGGTACTCCATTGGGCCTTTGTCAGCTCAATATCCTGCACAGGGACACATGCACAAAAATCCATAAATAACATATCATCAAAGGGGATAAAGACAGACAAAAGAATCACATATGCTCTTACCTGACAAATTTTATTGCCATGCTCAAACTGCTCCATCATAACACGCAGTGTACTTGTTGAGACATTGTAGCTAGAATTCATGCACGGATATGCAGGAGTAATAATTGGCATATGATGAGTGCGGTCCCTAGGATTTTTACGAGGGTCCCACACAGGGAAACCAAGATCCTCCTCTTCAATTGGACAGAGCATCACAGGATTGGGCCAGCGCCATTGAGTATAAACTCTAAAAAATCGAGATAGTAACATGCTAGGAATTGCATTCGGGTATAGTTGGCATACTCTAGCAACTAAAAGAGCCCAGTTCACCCCACCTAAAAATCCAGTCACCTACATTCGGAGGAATGTGAGATGTTCAAACTACTACACAACCAATTTGTCACTGATAAGCAAGATAAATCTTACATTTGAATAGACACCCCGTCGCTTAGCCCAAAATTTGAGACACCTTAGCGTTGTCCGGAAATGCTATAGCAATTGCACAGAGGTTAAGAAGCATCATAAAAAAAAAAAAAAAAAAAAAAAAAAAAGGTCAACAAAAAGTAAAACTGGCTACAAGAATATCGAGCATTCACCTCAATATTAGGAACCAGCTTAAGGATTTGGTCCGCAACTCGACATCCATTCAGACTACGAACTGTTTGCTCGTCAACATTATGAAGTACGGAACCCTGTGATATATCCAAGTCCTGGAAAAAAATTAACATTAGTAAAATAGTAAACAAATCAACATAAATAAAGGAGTGTGAAAACATTTACATTATGAAACTAATCTACACGATTATTTAACCACTTTTGAAGTGCGCATAACCAAATAAGAGCATGAAAGAAAACTTCAGCGGCTAAACATATTCAACAGCATAAAGCACCATACAGCACATCGCGTATCTGCGCCTTGACTTTTCTGGCCCATGGATCAAGAATGACAACACAAACCAGGAGAAATGCGAGCCACACCATTCAAGGAAAAACCAACATCTGCATCCTCATAACAAGTGAAAGAAGCAGCAGAGGGTGTTGTACCTTATTACTTTATGATATTTTATGCAGATGAGAAATCCAGGATGAAAAACTAATATCATGCACTGGTTCCATTCTCTTTGAGCCACAGGAGAAGGAAAATAAAACAATAGAGTAAAGATGGTAGCTTGAACAATTGGGAGGGTGCTGACATTACAATTCTCAAAATAAGATACAGGATCCAAATGACAAACAATTGACAAAACATAGAGAAGCATAATTTTATTCTTTTTTATAGTCTTCTCAAGAGTAACCAACAAAAACCAAGTAGAAAGTATACAGCAACATGCAAATATAGAATGATTCAAGGTCAAAACTCAAAATAAACAAAGAGAGAGAAAAAAAAAAAAAAAAAAAAAAAAAAAAAAAAAAAAAAAAAAAAAGAGGTAAAGAAAATAATCCAAGTGATAGAAAAATATGGAGTGGCATTTTGCTTACATCAGGAACAATCAGCATCGAAACACTTGCATAGAGGAGGTCAACAGAAACTCCTAGAAATTTGAATTTCATTACAGGGACATGAGCATCAGGGACTGGCTGAAGCTCAGTGACTTCTTCTATTTCAGCCAGAATGTCGTGCAATATTATAAAGAAGTCTTCCTGAATGACAAAACCTCAACAGGTTGAGTGTCTCCTTAAGGTGTGTCTAAGAAATAATAGCCTCAAGAAAATGACTAAAAAAGTTTAAGTTCATTTTCCGGATGATAACATCTCAACTAATACAGTCATTACTTACATCACGGTTTACATACGAAGGCCCAACGCACAGGGTATCAATGTCTGCACCAGGTCCGTGTACCTGCCATAAGTCACCAGTTATCTTAATTTGTTATAACAATATACTTCCTCTGTGTTTTTTTTTTACTTGCAACATTTCTACAGTGTACACTATTTGCACACTCCACTTCTATTACTTTTTGTGATTTATACTTGGAGAAAAACAGCCATATCTCATGTGATTTTTGTTGGACCCCTCCCAATGTGTAAGTAACTGAAATTTAATATTTATAATTTTTACAAATGCATAACTAATGATAACAACAACTGAAGTTGTGCATCGCCAAACATAAATAGAAAATATTGCAAGTATAAAATAAAAATTAAAAATAATTATGTGTTTGTTGTGTATGCGTGTGTATTATATATATAAAACAAGCTTCCTAGTCACCAAGAAAAAAAAATTACATAACCTTTTTAGGAAGTTCTATATTTGTTGCATCATTTCCCTTTTTTAAGAAATGTTGCCTTGTATATTAATTACCTTGCTAAATGTACATTAGTGCTGCCTATTTTTACTGTCATTAATAAATAAAAAACATCATCCACCAATAACTAATTACTCCCACCACAAACAAAAGAAAATCAATATTTCCACAACATTATATCTCACATATTCGCCACCTCCCCAGCCATTTTTGCAACTTGATAGCTTAATTTTGCGCTCAAGTATGAGCCCTCAAATGTCTCAAGCTAAGATCCCAACTCCACTTTTCTTAACTCAAATGTAAACACCCTACAATCAACTCAATTTGGATAACTGAGCTCGTGTTGAGCTAGTTTACAGCTGCATTGTCAGCTTCATTGCTGCAATTGATGGGAGAAGATAAAGGTTTATTCTTAATGGAAATAAAAATTTCTATAACCCTTCCTTGTTCCGCCACATGGGTCCACTTAATCTAATCTATTATATTATTGAATAGCCAAATGTCTCTCAAACATTTTGTCCTCTTCCAATCTAAAGGTCAAATAAGGGGCCTATTCTTTAGCTTTAGTGGTAGGATTCAACAGACACGTCTCTCTTAATGAATGATATCCTTCTCTTATTTTCAAAGAAAATTTTCTTTATTATTTGATGAAAACAAGAGAGCAAATTCAGACACGAAAATACCCCTTAATATTTGAGAAAAAGAATTCTTAGTTTGTTCAGCAAGGAACAAGAAAGAAAATTGTTGAGCTACATATAGATGTCTGAAAAATAGAAATTTCAGTCTTATTTTTTGGTCAAAGAGTCGATACATATGGCAAGAAGCTACGGTCAATAAGACTGGCCATAATGACAAGAATTGCATTCAAGGCAAAAAGTAGAACAAAGGCAATTCAAGATACCGAAATCCCAACCAAAGTAGATAAGCCACCAGTCTTAAGTATGCCTATGAGGTCAAGGGTTTAAACACTTTCTCCACTGATTGGGGGGCAAAAGGGAAGATAAAAAGGAAATGAAGAAAAGCTTACTATCAGCAAACAAAAGAAAAAATGGGCCCAATTATCTAAACCTTTATTGAACAGAGAAAGTTAGTAACTAGACGGACAGTCAGATACGCTTTCAAGTTTTATCACTCACAAAAATTGCCTTATTGGATACATTCTCACAACATTAGAGAAGTATAACTAGAACTTTTTAGGCACTTGCACTTTCTACATCAACCAAAACCTTAATAAGTAACAAAAAATTCTAGAGGTATTGCTCAGAGTCTTTTCATCCAATAGCACCAACAGCTCCAAGTCTTCTGATAGTCTCCACCCATTCCCCCTTTTAATAGGAAAAAGACTCCAAACATTGAATGATAGTTGTTTAGATTAACCTAATCTAGGCCAAAGAGAAGAGCATTAAAGGTGTTAACGCAGTATCCATCAAAGTTTTCAAAATTAAACCAAAAAAAAAGTAGCACTAAAAGCTCCACACACAGATATCAATTTTAAAAATTGGAAAAAAAAAAAAAAAAAAAAAAAAAAAAAAAAAAAAAGTGATCGAAAGGACCACTTTCAGATGTATCCCCCCACCCCCACCCCCACCCCAGTGTCAGTGAGATACACACATCATCCCCAATCCTTCATAGTTATCTGATGAGATTAACTTGCTTATACATCTGTATAAATTTTACAATTATTTGGCAGAGGGATCTAAGCAATAAGAGATGACAATCATTATCCTCTTTTCATGAATAAATGAAAATTTGCAACACAAAAAAAGGGATAAAGGAGATGTAAGGAAAACTCATGGTGCAGCAGAAAGGCAAACATTTTAAATAGAGAATTAAAAACTAATTACCCCCAGTCGATATGACCCAAAAGTAAAAATGAGAGCATTCGCATCGTCAACCATTTGATCTGTGTATCCTCTTTGGCGAGTCAGCTGCTTTACCCACCCTTTCACAATCTGCATGACAAATTATAAAAATAATTTACACTGGTATTCTGTTCATAAATGATAGCTCCATGTAATAACTTTGTGAAAAAAGCAATGCAACAAATAAATCCTTTCACATTCACTTGTTATTGTGAAGAATAATTTTTAGCCTGCCTTGTGAGTTATGCAATGATCATCAATCAAATTTTCAAAATCAGAAATTCCAGGCATGGGAATCTAGTACTTAACCAATTCTGAAAAATAGAGACTAACCTAACAACAAAGATAAAGACAGTAAATAAAAACTTCAAGGGCATCAAGAACTACAACTATTTTGATTCAACTACTTCACGATGCCATTATTACCACCAAGCTGATTACCAACTGGTATATATTGCTAATATGCAATTCAACCGAGACAGAATTCAGCATACAAAAAAGAAAGTGAAAGCCATTCTTATATCACTACATCAGTAATCATAGCACATAAGGCAATTACTCTGTCCCGCCAATCCAAACCATGTGTCATCTATTACTTAGAATTTGAACACAAATTTAACTCAAAATAAACTGATTAATTGTCTATGAAAAATCACTCCGTACTACTGTATTGACAAAACTACAAGCAATTTCACATAATTAACCTTATAAGTACATAATTTCAGAGTAATTGACATTCACATATAAACCTCAAAAACGAAAACAATTGAGAGGAAGCAATCAATATCAATAATTCAATAATAAAACGATAATTCAAGGAAGATATTTACCTCACGAATCCGATTTAGGACCTCCTCCCTCTTATCTCCTTCCTCACTGCTCTCATATAGCCCCGAGTCAATCAAAAACTACAAAATCAACATCAATTATTTAAAAATTAAGAATTATCATGAAATTAGAGCATAAAAATATTAAAATAAAACCAAATTGAAGAAGCAATTACCTTCCCTAATTCAGCATTGCGTATAAGATCAATCTCAGTGGGACCCGCAAGTGAAATCGGCTTATTAATTCCATGCTTTTTCGCCGGCAACGAAGAAGAACTACTATTAAGCTGCTGCTCAGATCCCCCCACCATTTGAACACCGCCAAAATCCCAATCAAAAACCCTAACCCTAAAACGCCAAAGATTGAAAATTTAGTTGAAAAACAGCTCAATTCCTTCCGAAATTGAGCATCAATGAAGCATTCTCTCTTCCCAGAAAAGGGATGTAAAAGAAACCAAAAAAACAGACAAAAAAAAAGAAATGGGTGATGAAATCAAGCTTTACAGATTTGCCAACAATGGGAGTAGAGATAATTATGGTTTTTTTTATTAAATTTGGGTTTTTTATAAGGGTTTATGATGATTAATGAAATGATTTGGTAAGAGGGAGAAGAATGGGACAAAGACAGAGGAAAGAGAGAGAGATCTGAAGAGTGAGATGAAAGAGAAGAAGAAGGGGAGAAGAATCTGGGGAAAATGGAAAAAGGAAGGTCAAAGAGAGTGTGAATTCTGATGTTAGGCCGTGTTTGGTAAGCGAAGGCACGTACTAATATGTTAGACCCCACTCTCTTTTGTACAAGTATAACAAAAAAAAAATATCAACATATTTTAATCATTATTATTTCACCCCACCACAGCAAATATCATTGAGTAGGGGCGTTTGCGGTCCGATTTAGTTTGGAGTTACTGGTATAAATTTACTATTTTGTGTGCTTTGAGTCTCTAAGAGTAAACATAATGATTCCCAATAATCATTGTGGTTATAGGTTATTTTATTAATTTCTCCATCTTCCATCTCATCCATAATTATTTTTATACCCATTTAATAACCAATGTATCCCAATAGTTAACCACAACTTTTTAGTTATATATTTTCTCTCTCTTACTTTTACCAAACCCCACCACACAATCTATATCTTAAATTCTATCATATATAAGTAGAGTTAAGTACATTGTTGGGGTCTAAGTTTTTTATTTTTTCACCTTTTGGGACCTAAGTTTTTTTTTCACCTTTTGGGACCTAGAGTTAAGAATCTGGTAACTTAACTCACCTTTAACTCAATTGAGTAAAAACTTAGTCCCTTAGCATTAAATATTGTCTAAAAAACACAATCCCTTGATAAAAACATAATCCCTTCATAAATTTTGTCAAAGCAAAAAACATACACCTGTCAAAGCAATTAGGAACAATTTTTTTCAACGAACACAAATCCAATATTTGACTATTAACTATTTTTCTTCAAAAAAAAAAAAACTATTAATTATTTCAAATCCAATTTTTTTCAACAAACAATTAATTACCAAAAGTGTAGTAGTGTACGTTTAATTAATTATCCTAACTATATCAAAATTGTATCTTTTAATATTTGCATCAAAAAGAAATTATATCCTTTTAATATTAGTACTTTTATCTTATGTTTTTTTTTTCCATAGAGGAACAAGCCAAGGCAACAAAGAAAATGAAAAAAAAAAAACAACAAACTAAAACAAGAAAATAAATCTACCTAAGGAGGGATTAGGAGTGGATTACAACAAACTTTTATTTGTATGTATAATAGGATAAAAATTGTTTAAGTCTAAATTATAGTGTTAGAATTTTTGTTTTCTTAAGAATTGTTTGCAATTGTTATTTGACTATCTTTTATTATGAAATCTTTTTTCACCTGTAAATAAAAATAAAATAAAAGTAACTCCACAATAATCATAAATTGGATTCCATTAGGATTTAATATATTTCTCTGTTAATTTTATCTTCTATCAATATACATAAAGATAAAAACTAAAATTTTCTGTATAACTTACTCTATTTATAGAATTGATTTTTTTTTTTTGTATTTTTCCAAAAAGATTAGACTTATTAGTAAATTAAAAGTACGCCACCTATGAGTCGTAGCATATATGAACAACTATACCTGTTTAATTATACGATTATGAGGCTGGTTTAAATTTTTAGTAAAATGAAGCTTCTTGCATACGCTTCCAATACCCCAAGCACACACGTGTCTCTTTTTGGAAGATCACCAATCAAATCAGTCAAAAAAATGCTTTTAGGGGTCTAAGTTTTATAGGGGACTAAGTTTTTTTTTCCTACCAACTTTCTAATTGACTAAGTTCTTAACTAAGGAACTAAGTTATTTAACTCAACCTAGTTAAATGTACACCGGAAATTGCACATGAGGTCCCAAACGGTGAAAAAAAAAACATAGGTCCCAAAAGGTGAAAAAATTAAAAACTTAGACCCCACTATTGTACTTAACTCTATATAAGTAATATAACTAATGCACTTGGTAATATTCAATCAACACTAATAATTATTTATTAACATACATTAATTGGATAAAATGACTTATAAAAATTCATTTTGATTTACAAAAGAGTATTATTCACTTTCATAAAATTGTTTTAAAATACCTCAATATTGGGCTCATTTTATAGAGGAAAATAAAATAGAGCCGATAGTATTTTTATTTATTTTTTTAGAATTGTATTTTAAAAATTAGATGGCCGTTACAAAAATTACAACGGTTATAAATTCAGAGTAAATCTCAACCATTCAACAAATAAATGGATGTCTCAATCTCCTTGTGCCACATCACCAAGGACAAAACTTAAACTCAAAAAGTGGTTTTTTTTTATTCAATAGCCACCCTTCATAACCGGTTACAACAATAACCTGGTTACAAGAATTTGCTCCAAAATTTTCTCTCTCCTCAATTTTTTATTATTTTCCTAGTTTTTCTCTCTTAATAACTATGCACAATGGTTATCCGCTGTGCATGCTCTAGAGGTGATTAACATTGATCCGGTCCCTAGCCCGGCCCAAAATAGGGCAAATAGGGCAGATTTGGGCAAGTTTTAAACGCTTTTTAGTTAAAAATCCGAACCCAACCCGAAAAAACCCGCTTTAGCCCGACAAGCCCGCTACTTTTTTACGGGTTTTAGCACGAGGAATTGTGTTAAGATCCGACCCGAATTTTGATCACCTCTAGCTCTGAAACATAAGGAGTACACTAAGGGTTTGTTATGTTCAGCTTAATTTCAGTTCAGTTCAGTTTCTAATTTCCTTCTCTCATAAGCAATTCATTTCAACTCTATTCAATTTAGTTCACTCCCAGTCAATTCAGTTCAATAAATCGGAACAAGCTATAAATTAAACGATATATATATGGTTTAAATTTTAAACCAGGTTGTGTTGCGTGTTTGGTGGATGTGGTGGGAACCCATTTTATGACTTTGAGTTAACAAATTTGAATCCGTCACCCACATTTACTTGGAGGCAGAGGATTCTCGCCTTTTCCTCCACTTCTACTGTAGAGCACGTATGATTACAAAGAACTTGGGATCATGCCATAATCCAACTACATAAAAAAAAAAAAAGAAGCATAATTAAACCATACAAAACATGTTTTAATTAGTATGTGAAGGAACTATGGAGTATGAAACAACACTTCGCAAACACCACAGCTTCATATGGCCATAGTATTCTATGCAAGAGGGAATTTGATAATGATCAATTTGATTAATGTGTAGTCTTATCAAGGGTTATTGGAAATCATTAGGTTGAGTTGATTCAACTGAGCCTCGCTCCATCCCACCATTGAGGCTTATTATGACTAACTTAATTGTGACTGAAACATACCTTAATTTAGATAGGTCTATCTAATGGGTTCGTTATCGCGTTGAACTTTAATTTGATCTATTCATTTCAATTCAGCTCCAAATCAGTTCAATTTAGTTTAGTTCAGCTTTATTCAATTCAGCTCTAATCAATTCAATTCAGCTCTAATCAATTCAATTCAGTTTAGTTTAGCTCAGCTCAGCTCAGATCAGCTGAATAAATCAGAAGAGGCCCTAAGCGGGGTTTAAGGCACAAGCAGCTAACCCCAAGTCCCCAATCCCATAGGATCTCCTTCAACAATCCAAGGCTAGAATCACTCAATAAAACTACAAAGAGCAACACCTGAATGCTCACATCTACCACCACTCATCACCTCCTTTGCAGAGTTCTTCATCCCCTCCAATCTCTCTCCTCTCCAATGGCGCGCGCCATGACCCGCGCCATCCCATTTTCCCTAAAACCCACCTTCTCAAAACCCCGCTTTCTCACTTTTACACCACCCCATTTCAGAGCTAATCCCTCCCTAAAATCTTCACCCATTTCTGGGTTATTATGGGTAGGAAATGAATTTAGCAATGGCGGAGGATGGAGGGCTTTGAGAAGGCCTGGAATGAGTGTTTACTGCGGCGGCATCGGCGGCAGCGGTGTTGGTTTTGGGGGTGGGGAGAGAGGGTATAGGAAGGTTAGAAGGAAGGTTGTGAAGAATAAGAAGAAAGCTAAGGAGTTGGAGCTTAGTGTTAAGATTCTTATTGAAGAGGGTTTACCCAATGACCCTGAAATTTTGGTAATTGTCTTTTCTTTAAATCTATTTTAAGGGGTATTTTAATCCATTATCTTGTTAAATGTTGATTGCCTTTTCTTTGATTGTAATTTTTCATGCTTTATAATGTTGAATGAGATATTTAATTAGTCTTATGATTGAATGTTATTGTTATGAATTATGACTGATGAGCAAAAGTTGAAAGGGGGTATTGTACTCATGTATCTTTCTTGCAATGTACAAGAAAGTGTTGCTGGGGTAAGTCTTTGTAAGTGGTGTGTGTTAATGGTATGCATTTTTTTTTAAAATATAATTGCTCTTTACTTCGAGAGGATTGGCTAGAATCGTTGTGTGTTGTCAATTGAATAACTGTAATCTTGTAGAAGTTTGATTCTAGCCTATGTATTCAGAGCCGTGTTCTGAATTCTTGAACTAGCAAAGGGCTATCTTTTTATTGTTGTTGAAGCTTGGCTGAAGCTATAGCTACTAAAGGTTGTATCGTATCTAATATAGCTTCCATTAGCGCTAAAGTTCTACTAAAGTTTCATCTCCAATATATTGAACAAGGGGTGCGTATTCAACAGAAATTTCAAGATGAATTTTCTTGTCAAGATTATATTTGTGTTTTTAAAGTGAGTCATTCTTTTGAGCAGGAAGGGGGATATTACAGTGCGCAGGAAAGTTTGTTTTTTGAGATATAGCATGGTGTTTAGGATGAGGAAATTTGGAGTGTGAAACTGTTACTGATCACATGACTATATTGGGTATACCTAAAGGGGTGATCAAATCCTTCTGTTTGTGAGTTAGATTTTTACCATCATTTCCATCCTATCATGTATGCTAATCTTTATATGACAGTTGATTTGGTGATAATGACTAGAGCAGAATTGGTGAGCAATGTCATTCTGTTTCAAATAAGATGGGAAGAGAAGAGCTATACTTTGGTGGGTTAGTTTGGATGGGAAGACAAAGAATTAAGACTGGGGATCTTGCTGAAAGGCTCATAATCCAATAGATCAGTTATTAAAAGGGGAATGAATTTGGATCAATGTTTTGGATCTAGTTATCTCTTCTAGTTTCTAAATCATTACTCCAGATTCAAATTTGGTAGGTGGCAATTAATTGTGGTAATGAGAATGAATTTGTATG